AAACAGTGGTCGGTTAAATTTAACTAACTAACTAACATACATACATACATACATACATACATACATACATACATACATACAAGAAGAAAGAAAAAAAGCAGTCAACAGGTTGAGCTAAACATTACATTAATCTTCAAATCCCTCTGTTAACCATTTGTTGTTATATTTAGCATGTAGAAAGTCCACAAATTGTTTCCAGTCTCTTATAAAGGTGTTTAGACCATGATCTCTAATCAAAGCAATTAATTTTGCCATCTCTGCAAATTCAGTCAGTTTCAAAATCCATTCTTCAACAGTCAGCATCTCTTTTTCTTTGGCAAGTACAATCCTCTCAGCCATCACCATCTGAAGGAATAGTACCCCAAATTGTTTCTCAATTGACTTGTCCATCATACCTATAAAAGAAAAGCTTCAGGTTTCATTAATATTTATATCTTAAATTTTTTTTGCATTGCCATTGATATATGTATGCAGTATATTTTTAAATATTTGCAAGACCACTACATTTGATAAAATGAACCTGGACTTTGACAAAATTTCCAGAAATTATTAGAAATCCCTTTATACATTTTCACTACTCTATTTGGGGTCAAATACCAACGATAAATCATTTTATTAAAGCTTTCTTTCAAACTATAATTTAATGTGAATTATAGTCCCGTCATCCATACATTCTCCCATTTATCTAGTATTATACCATGTTTTCCCCCAAATAAGACAGGGTCTTATTTTCTTTTGCCCCACAAAATATGGCCTTGGGCTTATTATAGGGGGAGGGCTTATTATTTTGGGGTTGCCAGGCAGCTGATCCCTTGCGAGCGGGCTCTCAAAGAGCCAGGCACAGCCAAGGCACGTGGTGCTGTGCCTGCCCCCCGGCTCCCGCAGCTTGGCACATTTGGGATACCCCCTAGGTCAGTGCATGGAACTCTGCCCGGCTGGAGAAGGGAGTTGCACGAGCGCCTATTCCGCCCCCAGCAAGCATGCCTCCCAGCCTCACCATGCCCTGGCCCAGCTGCCACAGCGCTCTGAGCATAACTTCTTTTCCGGCTTCCAAACTCCAAAACTTGGCTGCTGAGTCTTCCAGCAGCGGCTGCTCTAGGAATGCACTCTATGGTTGTGAGCCAGCTGCCAGACAGAGAATCTTTCAGACAGAGAGTCTTCCAGCAGCCAGCCCACAACCATAGAGCGCACTCCTAGAGCGGCCGCTGCTGGAAGACTCGGCAGTCGAGTTTTGGAGTTTGGAAGTCTGAGAAGAAGTTATGCTCAGAGTGCTGCGGCGGCTGGCACAGGGCATGGTGAGGCTGGGAGGCATGCTTGCTGGGGGCGGAACAAGCGCTCACGCAACCCCCCTCTCAAGCCAGGCAGAGCTCCATGCACTGACCTAGGGGGTATCCCTAATGTGCCAAGTCACGGGAGCTGGGGACAGGCAGAGCGCCACATGGCTTGGTGCCTTAGGAATACCCCCCAGGTCAATGAATTGCGCTCTGCCCGGTTGGAGAGGGGGTTTGCCGGACGGTTGCTCGTGAGCGTGATCACCTCATGGTTGCTTCGCCCCTGAGGCTGTGCCCGGCTCTTCGGGAGCCCGCTTGCAAGGGAGCAGCCACCCGGCAACTCCCCCCTCCGGCCAGACAGAACGCCACTCCCCAACTTAGCGGTATCCTGAAGGCACCAAGCAACGTGAGTGCCTTTCCGCTCCCACGGCTTGGCACCTTCGGGATACCGTTAGGTCAGCGAGCGGAGGGAAGGGTTGTCCAGTGGGCTTATTTTCAGGGGTGGGCTTATATTTTTGCCCATGCGAAAAATGTGGTAAGGCGTTAGTTTCAGGACAGGTTGTATTTTCAGGGAAACATGGTATTACACCCAAATATTTTGATCCATTTTACCATACACTCTTTAAAGTATTCATCTTCTAGATTCATCTTGAGTGGCATCCTATATATTTGTCATACTACATATAGGCATCCCACCTAAATCTCAAATCAAAACCTTTGAGGTCTAATAACCTTGAATTTTTTTAAGTTATCCAATCTTTTAACCATACCAGACAACAAGCATCATTAATATAATCTAAGATTCGACAAATCCAGGCCTTCTCTATCTTTAGAACCTTGTAGCAGCTTATATTTAATTCTTTTTTATTTTGCCAAGTAAATTTAGATACATCTTTCTGACACTGTTTGAAAGTGGAATCTCTCATCAATATAGGTATAGTCTGAAACAAAAAATAACATTCTAGATAGTACATTCATTTTAATTACTAAAATTCTTCCCATTAATGACAAATCTAATTTTACCATCTATTTAAATCCAATTTCATCTCCTTCCATTTTTTACCATAATTATTTTTGTAAAGCTTAGAATTTTCCTCAGCAAGAAACATTCCCAAGTCCTGTACCTTTTTCACAACTTTAAAAGTAATTTTAAATTCCAATTTCTTCTTATCTTCCACCTTTAAGTTCTTTAGTCAGTATTGTTGTCTTCAGTTTATTTTTTCTTAAATCTGCCATTTCTCCAGAAATTTTAATTTTCCTCATAACATGTTCAATGGGTTCAATCTCTAGTGGATCTTGCACAATCAATACCAAGTTATTTGTTTCCTGGTTTCTCCCATAGCATTTTAAATCTGAAATCTGTGATATAATACGATTCTTTGATTATTATATGTATGGGCAAAATAATTTTACATCATTTGAACATTAGTAGATACTGTAGAACAGAACAGTAATCATGACTTTACTATTGACACAGCTCTTGTAACCTCTGGTTTCAGCTATATATCATTCAGTTTCTATTTGTAACTTATCTGGCTCAGTTTTCCCTACTATTTCATTTTAATAATCTGAGGGGAATCACTGATCTTTAATTAGGCACTTGTTTGCTTTTTCTAGTTTTTGTCTCATTAAAGCTTCGAAATTTAAAATGACAGTAATAGCTAGCTTATTTGTCCTACAGAGTTTATTTTTCTCAAGCCACAACCATCAGAAATTATAAAATAAAAATTATAAATCAACAATAATGAAGTTTTATTGGGCATTTATATTAATTTGAGAAATTTTGTTGCTGCTGCATTTAAATATTCCTGCTAGATTTAGTTGATCATTTTGATGACCTCGAGTGTTCAGTTTGTTAGCATGTTTTAGATGTATTCATGATATGTTCTGTTTCACGTTTGCTCTCAATAAGGCATTTGTCTTCAAATTATTTAGTCGAGACTATTCTATTGTTTGGATAAAAGTTTACCTTTTGTTATTTGTAAGAAAATCTTTGACTTCTGAATTGGATCAGTTCTTCTCTGCCGAAATGCAAGAGATAGTCAAGATGGTTGAGATGTTTCCTACTTTTCTTACTTTTTCTAGACAATCTCGGCCTCCCACAAATCGTACAAGTAGCACTGGATCTTTGGGATCTGATTCAACGTCATTGTCCGCACTTTCCTTGGACTCAATCGTTGCACCTGATACGCCTATACAATTTGATATCATTTCTCCAGTAAGTGAAGACCAGCCTGGTCAAATAAAAACTCCAGGCCAGTCAGGCAGGTGAGAATTACAAAAATGAAAATACAAGAAATAAATCTCCCTCAATATTTTGCACCTCTGTTGATAACCTGTGTAGAATAATATTCATCATGCTTTAACCTTGATTATGGGTAGAGCCCTCACTTTCATTCAGGACCCTCAAAGCCCTGCACAAATTTAAACTCCTCTTATTCCCTTTAACCAGTTTCAACAATGATTGTGCCTAACCAGAGTTTGCTTTTAACTAGAGATTTCAGCAAAAGACTTCCGACTTATTCAGAGGTCTAATTAAAAGTGAAAGCTGATGGGCATTATCTGATGTTAAAATGTTTCTGGATACAAGGGAATTGGGTGGAATCAGGTTGTCTATATTTTATTAGATTAATCCCTTGAGATACTTGGATTTTTAGACCTGCATGAGCTGATCATTAAAACAAAAAAAATGAAATATTGCCGACTTGGGAAACTTTTATGTTGCTTAAGATTCTATGTTTTATTTCTTGTAGCAGACTTATTTTGCCCTGTTGAGCATTCTTCAGTTTTTGTTTTTGTTTTTTTGTTTTTTAAAAAGTATATTTTCCTTTCCTATTGCTTGCTTGCCTGCCCCAGCAACTTGGGTATTTCCTCTTGGAAACTCAAGAGAAATGTGGCAACCCAGGTGGTGAAGGCATTCTGATGGCTTTCTTCCTAAGCTAAAAAAGGTGAGTGAAAATTATCTAGGCTTCTAGAGTAATACCTCTTAGGAAGATAAATTGTCCATTGTCCACAGTTCTTTTTATGTCCCTTCTCTATCTCACTGGAGCTTCCATTTTGCATCAGTATATTTTATAATTATCATTTAGTGATTGAGTACACAGTGTTTGTTCCTCAGTAAAGTAGTCAGATACTAGGGACCAGTGAATACTTAATTGTAATATTAAGGCAAGTCTTTGGTATAGTAAAAATGACAAGAAACTTTCCAATTAATTAACCCCAGTTACTCCTAATGAAAGTTTGATGTAAGGAGAAATCTAATTCAAAACAGATTAATCCTGTTCACATACTAATTCCTTCTGTCCTGAAGACTTGCTGGAAAAGTACTGTTTGCACTGCTTTCTGGAACATCAACAGGGAAAGGGCCATTTTAATTTGGGAGGGCAAGTGATTCCAGGAATAGGAGATGTCTATCCAGAAGGCCTGGTTCCAAGTCTTCTGGGCAGGCAAAAATCCATTTGGATCCGATGGTCATGAAAACCCAAGTGAGAAAGGGCTTTATACTATAATAGACAATTTATGTCTTCTGCCTCTGGTAATACCATACCCTCTTTCAATTGTGGTGGTGCCAGTCATTCAGTCTATTAAACCAAAGCTATCCAATCATTAAGCTCCCATGACTCCTTGTCCTCCAAAGCCCAACCATTTACTAAATGGTAAGTTTTTTGAAACTCTTCCTAGTCTTCAAGTCCATTTTACTATCTATCTTTTTCACCTCAGGCATCATATTCCTCTTCTGCATTCCTTGAACTTCACTTCCCCAGCCATGCTTCTCTTCATCTTTACTTCTTGTGTTGTATCCATGCTCTCTTGCAACCAGGATTCACCTGTCTTTCTGCCATTGAGCACCCACAGTACACATGTCCTATTCTCTTCCTCTGTATCTCAATTAATGTTCTCTCCAAATACCAGGCTACTATACCTTATCAATATGTGAATGCAGATTATTAGAGTGAGTAACCTTACCCCCTCAAAGTCAGTTTCTAAAATACATGGAGAACATCTGTGGATAGTGGGGATTGTTCTGCACAATCATCCTCTGTGTTAAAGGCAACCAGAATTATAAGGTGAGGGCGTGAGATTGCCTTACTCGTGTAGATACTGCATGCATGTAAAATGCCTGAAGAAAACTAATTCAGAGTTTTCAGGATCTTCTGTGAATGCTAGTATAAAGATGCAGCATCCATGATAGATTTGTGAAGAGATCTACCGAATGCCACTCTGAAAAAGAAGCAGATTGCTTCAGTTTGAAGTCTATAAAAGTGTTGAGCCTTGCTGTATTCACCAGATTTCTCATGAGCTGACTAAATAGCAAGTATGCCTGAGTGCAATCAAGAGATTTGCCAGCTATAATAATTCTGATCAAATGGATCCCCAAAAGTGTCTGCAAATGAGACAGGCTGCCTTGTGAGAGAGGTGACCATTTTATGCTGGAGACATATAAGATTAGATGGGCACATTGCAAGGGTATTGATCAATCCTGCATTATAGCTTAGACAATTGTAAAGTCCCTTAGAAAGCTTCTAGTGCAATACGATGATTTTGTGAAAGATTTACATTGTGAAAATATAAAATTAAATATATTTTTTAAAAAATACTATTGCGACCTTTTGTATTTTATGGATCATCTTAAGTTCTTCATTTGAATAATGTTTTGATAAAGCTTTTCTTTGCTTACATATTGGAAGCCTAGAAAATTTTCACAAGTATAATGTAAAGAGTAATAATGGCTGTGCTGAGAGCTAAGCATAGGCATATTTCTCTTGATTATGATTAATATCTCATCAGTGCTTTCAGAAAACTATATTTGAAATGGTAACTTTTCATATGTAAATAATTTTAATATATTAACCTCAGGAGAGCCTGCAGTTTCTCTTAAAGTGATTTGGTTTTAATGAGTTTCAGTAACTTTGTAGTATATGTTTATATTTTCAGAAGTAGATAAAATTAAATAACTTTCCAAACAATATTACAGTACATGTAATTTTGTAATGGGTGGTTTATATAGTTTTCTGTTAAAATATAGTTCTTTATATAAGATATCTCAAATTATTCTGAAATTATGAAAATTCACTGGTGTATGTGAACTTCCTGGGCAACCATTCAGTCTTATTGCTGCTTTTAATGTAGCATGCAATTCTGTTACACATTGATTTGATACCTTTTTTTTTTGACAGACGTACAAATCCTTTTGGAGAGTCTGGTAGAACCAAATCAGAAACAGAAGGTAAGAGAGCAAAGCTTTAAAGTAAATGTAAAATACATTGAGTAGTATTGCATAGTGTTGAGAACAGATTGATAATTTAAAATAATATTTTGATAATTTGGCTGGCAGCCCGAGCAAAATAAAATGATTAAAGAAGATACACAGGAAAATGTTTCTGTATAATAAAACAAGGGCACTTGTCATATGAAATATGTACAATAAATAAACCTTATCTTAGGTTTCTTACTTCAGATTAAGAGGAAATATTCTTCTCTGTATTCTATTTAAATTGCCTCTAATGATAGTTCATAAATTTCTTCCTGTGTTGATTTGCATTAATGAATTGCTGATCTATCTTGAGAAAATTCATTCAGTTTTAAATATTGCATTGAATAGATTTTATAGTACTAAGTTGATGTCAGTTTGATTCCCATTTTCTCTGGAGTTGGGGCTATATTTGAAGTAACACTAAAAGTGCAAGAAAATACTTCAGTGAAAAAACTTTGCAATAATCAAGAAAAATAAAGATATGGCCAAAATGTAACACATTATAGAGTAAGCTTAAGAAGAAATGGAAGAAGAGCTTTCAAGTCTTAGTTGTTACGATTATTTAGCGTAAAAGTCTCTAAATTATATTGTAAAATCATACATTATCCTTCCTTGACTACTTTTATCAAGCCACCACATCACAAAAATGCTTCCAGTTTAGTTATCTTTAATGTTCATTGAACAAAATAATAATTCTCAGTCAAAACTAAGGGTAACCAAATGTTGTGACAAAGCTAGCAGATCTTATGTCCCAAAGGTGCTTTTTTCAAGAGCACCTTTGGAACGACCAAAAAAGCACCTTGACCTGGATGACTGAGAATCTCCATAGACATTCATCAGAGCTTATATACATTGCATTTTTAAAGAAATAAATTATGAAAGACTTTAGGAAGCGTGCCTTCTCTGTCGTGGCCCCCACTCTCTGGAACAACATTGCTCCAGAGATATGGATGTTGCCCTCTTTTCTGTAGTTCACAAAGTCCTTAAAACCTGGCTTTAGTCCCAGGCCAGAGATTAATGTGTTTGGGTGGTTATGACTGTGGTGTTCTGTTTTAATGATTGTTATTAGTCCATTCTGCCTTGTTTTCTTTTGTCTAGGTTTTATTTTTTTTAAAATTAGTATTATATTTTGGAAGCTGCCCAGAGTAAGCTAGAGCGGATAGCTATAACAAATTAAATGAATAACTTATTTTACTAGATATTGATATACAAGATACATACATAACTAATATTTTGTAAAGCCAAAGCTAAAGCTTTACTTCAAAAGTTACTCAAACTATATGTTTATTATGCTCTTGCTCTAGATTCTATCCTTCATCAGCTATTTATTATAAGATTCCTTGGCTCTATGGAAGTGAAGTCATATGAAAGTCCTGATGTTGTTTATGAAACAATGCGTCAAATACTAGCAGCTCGAGCTATACATAACATTTTCAGAATGACAGAATCACATTTGTTAGTTACGTGCGATTGTTTAAAGTAAGTATATTCTTTTTCTAAAGCAACATTGTCAAACACTTAATACATTTTGGTCTTTTAAAAAAAATCAAACATTTCTGAAATTATTCTTTATAGGTTAGTTGATCCACAAACACAAGTTACAAGACTCAGGGTAAGTTGTTAAACTCAAATTAGTTAACCATCAGAAACCCAGTTACTGTTCAGTTTCACCCAAGTTTATTTTCTATTTATTATTCTTGACAGAAAATTATAGGTTATCCAGTTCCCCAAACAGTTTTTCAGTTATCCTGAAACTACACATTATAAAAGTGGGTGGTCTAGCCTGTAAATTAGAAAAATATGTAAGGAATTCCTGCTAATAGTTGTAAAAGCCTAACTTAATTTGAAAGCTTTTGGGAATGCACTAGCATAAGAGCTGATGTCGCAAAGTGACTAAAAAGTCTTTGCTGAGAAGTCAGTAGGCTGAGTCAGAATGACCTTCTGAAATGTAAATATGAATTATTTTGGCTTTTACTTTAATAATACAAAAGTATATTTCTGTAATTTCATTTACTGCTATTATTCAGTGACAATTCTTTTCCTCTCTGGACAGTTTCCTTTGGCAAATATAGTTTTGTATGCTACGCACCAGGAGAACAAGCGTCTTTTTGGATTTGTTCTTCATACGTCAGCAGGAAGAGCAGATGGTAGACCAACTTCAGTCTGCTACATATTTGAATCAAATAACGAAGGGGAAAAGGTACATGCTTCATGCTTCAGTTAACGTTCTTGTATTTTAAACTATTCCAAAGCTGAAAAAAACAGGGATATGAAAATCCATTTGAGGAGAACACCCCACCCCACCCAACAGATGGTTTTATATAAACATGCAGGTAGAGTCAGCAGGAAGCAGCTTGCAAAGAACCTCTGGACTCTCTACTTATTTGCTTGCAGATATTTCATTACCCAACTAGATAACATCATCAGTGTCAGTTACCTAGTTGGTTAATAAAATGTCTTCTCACAACCAGGGAGCAACAAGAACTCCCCAGTTCTTTTGACCAATTTGTTCATTCTTTATAGTTATGTTCAGTTAAACACTTAGTTTAGCAAGCTTGAGATTCCACACATCAGATTTCCTTGGTTCATAGTTCACCTTTGTTGTCTCTGGAGGTTCCTCTGGCTTCTCAATCAACGCAGGCTCTAATGGTTCCAGGCTCTGATCCACTGCCTCTGGTGACTCCCAGCTACAGTTTTTCTTTTTTTCCCCCCTAAAGTTTTTTATTTTTCAGTTTCATAACATATAATCACATGTATACTATTACATAACCAACATCATATTGTATTATTAAATGTTTACATCAATTCATCTTACCATCAACTCTCCAAAAGAAAAAGAAAAAAACCCAGTTATTGGATCTTCTGCTCTGCATACACTGTATTTGTGCATTCACTTTCTTCCCCCTCTCTCATCCCCCTCCCTACCTCCTTTCTTCTCTCTGTCCTCTTTCCCTTCTCTACTTCCCCTTCCTCTCGCCTACTCCTCTCTCCCCTTTCCACTCCTCATTTCTCTCCTCCTCTTCCCCACTCCTACCCTCTCTCCTATCCCTCTCTCCTTCTCTTACCTCTCTCCTTTTCTTCCCACTCTTCGTCTCATTTGCTTGGTGCATTTCAGCTTCGGAGCAAGTTCCATTTTATGTTGATGGTATTTATAGTTCCTTTTCAATATACATATTTAATTTTAAACATATATTCTCCTCCTTTTTTAAAAAGAAAAATAGAACAAAAAAGTATACATATATAGTCATTGTACTTTTAACCCCCCTCCCCTCAGCCTAATTTTGGTCGAGATGTAGATCTGGTTA